CTACTACTACTACTACTACTACTACTACTACTACTACTACTACTACTACTACTTCTACTACTACTACTACTTCTTCTTCTTCTCATTCTCCAAATACCAAATAATTTTGATAATCATAACAATGATGATGATTAAAAGATATTTATAGCGAACTAAAGGCTAAGAGGAAGGAAAGGGTAACAGTAACAGTCTGTAGGAGTACAAATTGGCAGACAAAAGCAAAATCAGTCTGTCACTTCATGATGTTCAATCAGTTACGAGTCACGTCATGTGAGAGAGATAAATCACATCGGATGCAAGCTTAACCGAGCCACACCTAAGCGAGTCATCTCAGCTTATCTGCTGCGTAGGGTATGATAAGTCTCCAATAAGTACAAAAACAAAGGCTTTATCAAGCGTAAAGGAGCCATGTGACACCACTTAATAAGGGAACCCCCCTTCTCAACAGCGCATTCCGATTGGCTTGCTATAAATAGAGCACCTTTTGTCACAAGGAAGTACGCGACTGAAGTCATAAATAATTTCATTGCCCGTTCAGGATAGCCTACGGACCGAGTTAGCTGCATAAATTTATTTTACCGCCTTCAGTTTACAGCAGGTGAAAAATCGTGTTGTGTGCCGTGTTGCAGGTTGGCGAGGGACCACTTTGCGAGAGTGAAGAAGAGCAAGCCTATCCTCGTTCTTCTTTTTCGGGGTCATTTCGTTTTTTCTTGTTTGGAAGTACGTGAACTCTAAAGGTCAAGCAGACCTTGCCAGAGACACATGCCGGAGAAGGAGAAGGAATATTCCTTTTTATACCCCAACAAAGTTACAACTATAAAAATATCATAGCTTGCCTGCTGTTCTATCTTTTGAATTAGGAACATCGTCCACAGAAGGGTTCAAACAGCAGGACTTTGACGTGACCTGGATTCTTATCAACTGTGAAGTGGATTGTTTATTTGGAGTAGACGTGCTTATTATCTTAGGACCACATAGCTTCCTGGAAACGCATGTTTTTAGTTTGAGGTTCCCGAAAAAGGGGGTGTATTCGAGTGAAGATTATAGATGCTCCATTATATTATACCCAAGCGTGCAGTTTGTCTTCATTTGATGTGAAATACTCAGACGAGGATCTAGAAGCTACAGTGGAATTTTTGAATTGGTTATCTCTTCTCGCATCTATACAAGGAGTTATTTACTGTTACCATTAATTGTGTTTAGCATACTCTTGATCTTCAACTTTTAAAACGTATCGGTGAATTTCTTTGCTACGAAAAGTGACGCCATCGTGTGGTTTTTTTTAGTTGACTTGTAAGACGAAGTAAACAACACAATTCACCAGCATGGAGAATCTGTCCAAACTCCGGAGTCCCAGAAGCCTTCTGGCCGGGCCTGACAAGAGCGTCCGCTGTACGGTCATCGGAGACGGGATGGTGGGAAAGACGTGCCTAGCCACATCTTTTGCCAGGCGTCAGTTTGTCGAGGATTACACAGCGACCATCTATGACGTGTATTGTGGTGAGTCCTCCACTTTTTGTTGCCGTTTTTTTTACCCGTGGAGGTTCTCATGGAACTAATGTCACTTGGTTAGCGTAACAGAGTTTTCATGATTTGTGAGAGCCACTTCCGACTTTTTTTCCACGCTTGGTATTTCACCATGCCAAAAGCATGCGAGCTGCTTTATCTCCCTTATTAAGACCTTTTTAACCCCATTCTTCTATCTTCCTTTGCTCTCTTTGTGTGTGTGTGTGTGTGTGTGTGTGTGTGTGTGTGTGTGTGTGTGTGTGT